CGCAAAATTGGCAAATCTGCATTTGGGGATTTTTTTTTTTTTATTCTAATACAAGAGCAGCAACGTGTCGTTCAGCTGATTTATATGTGTACGACTCTCTCCTGTGTCGTTCTCTTGGGGATAAAAAAAGCACGCACAAATAACGTCTCGCTTTTTGCAACTTTTTTCATGACACCCTTTTTTGTTTTTTTTTTTTTTTTTTTTTGCTCGCCTCGCTGGTTCCGCCGATTTCCCATTGTGACCCCCCTTTCTGTCCCGCTTATTGAACGATTCGCAGGTACTACAAGGCTCCCCCCCATTCGCGGGCCACTGTTCGAACAAAGTTCCACGCATGCGTGTACGTATGTGTATATACGTATTTATACATATATGTGCGCAAAGGACCTTATGTGCGGCCACTTCAAAAAGAGGACATCCGCAATGCATACATGAGAAAATATGAACGCCCTCGCGGGTTTATGCCACACTTGTACGTCCACCTATGTAAACCCAACGAAGCCTTTCATGCGCATTTATTTCCCCACTTTTTTTTTATATAAATTTTGAATGTGTCTCCTTATATTCTGCTTAAAGCGCCTCGCCAATAGTTTTCCACCGAGTCCGCATTGTTTTGCTTTTTCCCCGCGTTAGTTTATTTGCCTTTCGTTGCATTGCGTTGCTTTGCATTGCTTTGCGGTGGTTTATGTGGAATATTTGTTTTTTTTTTCCCCCTCCTACGGTGTGCAGGCGATTTTTTGCGTCGTCAAACAGTTGCGTACCTGTTGTACAGCGTAATTAAGCGGAAAGTTGCTTCCCACTACGCCGTTTTGCTTCCCGTTTGTTTCATCACCAGCCTGCTCGTAGCCACCTCCTAATGGCACAATTTATTTTATTTTATTTTATCTTTCCATCCACCCTCCACTAATTAACTGCTAATCGAACTTCATCGCTTTGCCGACTGCATATAATTTAATGTCCCCACCAAAAGGATAAGCCAAAAAAGGCGTAATTCTCTAATTTTTATACTCTCCTTATGAACACATATGTACACACCCCTTTCATGTCTACAGTGGTGTATGCCCTTAACAAAATTAAATGAACTGTGCTGCAAGTGTTTTTTTGTGTCATTTCCCAATTTCGAGGTTGTAAGTGGTATGCATATGTGCCAGCTCGGCTTTGTTATAATGCGTACTGATATATGTTGTGATTAATTTTTTTAGTGGTCCCCGCGTGCTGCAAAATTTGTGTCTTCACCATCTTATGCGTCATTTTTGTGGCAATCTTCGCGATGCTGTTTACAAAAAAAGTACAGCTGGCATATTCCCCCCACAAGGTGTTTTAGCAATCGCGTAATCCTCCCAGAATTCGCAATATTACCAGCTTTCCTACACACCACCGCCAACTGCATGCACACATACGTACACACGCGTTGTGCGTGCGGATAGACAGACGGACCGACGTATTTCAGGCGCACATGTTAAAGGCTATAACAGAGCGTTAAAGGCAAAGTTTTTTTCGTTGCCCTCCTCCCCCCTTTTTTTTTTTTTTTTTTTTTGTTGTAATAAGAGAAAGAGACACACGAAAAACGATGCGCAGTTGCCAGTGAGCGAATTCCCATCACAAATAGGGAGTGATAAAAAGCTGCCAAAAAAAAAAAAAAAATTCATGCGAAATGTTCTTGCGCGAATTCGTACCAATTGGGCATGCAAATTTTTTGTGCCCAGTGCTCATTAGCGAATTTATGCGAACAGCCCATTAAACAAAACTGCGAAAATTGAGTAAGCCAAAATTACGCTAACGCGTTACATAGACTAATCGAGCCAGGGCGAAGAAGCACGCACAGAACTCGCGCCGAGTGGACATTCCCCCCCTCTGAGACGTGTTCCGATCAGACGAAGGAGGGAAAAAGGAAAAAAAAAAAAAAAAAAAAAAAGGCGAAACGAACAAGCAAACGTAACAAAATAAATAAACACAACCCGATAACCTTATCGACAGTCCACTGCAACAGCGCCCTCGACAAAGACCTCGCGCGCTGAACGATGAGCAACTGCCTTGGTCCCAGTCCAGACTGCCAACTCCGCGACGCCCTGAACTCGAAAGGTAAGTCCAAAGGTCCGAACGAAAGCAGCCAAAATAACCGAAACAGCCAAAACGACAACTCATATATGGAAAAAAAAAAACAGGAAAAACGAAGCGAAAAGAAGACCCATTCGCCTGAACAGGTCAGGCAAAAAGGGGAGAAAAATTATGAACAGTTAGAAAAAAAAAAAAAATTGTCAAACGATGAAGGAGTACAAGTTTCAACCTGCGAAACATTCATTAATGAAGATAATTACACAACGTACGAGAATTTGTCTGTTAAGGAGCTGAGTGATGAGGAAGTCATTTCGGAGAATGAATACAACAAGAAAATTAAACAATGTCAAAATAATCTACTTATAAGCAAAGAATTTTACGATTTTCTCGTAAGCAACGATGATGACCAGGCGAATGACAAGTGCACAAAAAATGACGCGCGCTTTGAAGAGCTCATGCAGATTGAAGCGAATTGTCCGCCCGCCGCATGCTCAACAAAAGTTTCGCACAATGTAGACGAATGGATTAACAAATTGTTAAAGTGCGAGCTGCTTCACATCGAGGAAGTCAAGCTCATGTGCACACTGCTCAGGGACATCCTGAAGGAGGAGCCCAACTGTGTGCAGGTCAGCGTCCCCGTGACCGTAGCGGGAGACATCCATGGCCAGTTTTACGATCTCCTGGAGCTGTTCCACATAGGTAAGTGCACGGTGAGGAGGGAAGGACTTAATCAATCCCCCCGCACCCACCTTGTAATTAGTAATTAATGACGAGGTGTGCTAGGAGAGGTGCGTACAACCATCCCCACTCCTGTGTGTACCACAAACGCCCTGTTTGATGCATTCCGCCACGCCCCCCCTCGCAGGAGGATTCCCGCCGGACGTGAACTACCTCTTCCTGGGCGACTATGTCGACAGGGGGTACTACTCATGCGAGTGTTTCTGCCTGGTGGCTTGCCTCAAGATAAAGTACCCCACCAGAGTGACCATCCTAAGGGGAAACCACGAGAGCAGGCAAATAACCAAGGTTTACGGGTTCTACGATGAGTGCATGAGGAAATACAATGGAGACTACAATGCGTGGAAGTACATAACGGACGCCTTCGATTACCTGCCCCTCACAGCCATCATTAGCAACCAAATTTTCTGTGACCATGGAGGAATATCTCCCTACTTGCACACCATTAATCAAATAAACGACTTAGATCGATTTAAAGAAATCCCACAGGATGGTCCTATTTGTGATTTGCTTTGGAGTGACCCTTCGGGACCTGAAGATGGTATCATTGAAGGATGGAAAGCATCTCCTAGAGGTGCCGGTGTGGTGTTTAGTGAAGAGAGGACGAATGCGTTTCTTCGGCAGAATAAGCTGAGCTGTATATGTAGGGCTCACCAGCTTGTGCAGGACGGATTCTTATGGATGCACAATGACAAGGTGGTTACAATCTTTAGTGCTCCTAATTATTGTTATAGGTGTGGCAATTCCGCTTCGCTAATGCTTGTCGATGAGTATATGGAAAAGGACTTTGTCACTTTTAACACCGCTCCCCTAAGAGCCAACGCTAAGGCTTTGAGGAGGAACGTCAGCTACATGTTGTGAGAGGCGCCCTTTCTAGCTGCATGTAGCGGTGAGTAAAGCTGTTTCAGTGTCAGATGAAGACGTTCCCAGTTCAGCCATGCTGCCAATGATGAACCTGTCCTTGTGGGGAGTATAGCCCCTGCCCCTTTGTGTTGTGAAAATTCAGGTATCAATATGACCTCTTTAGTTATTTCTCACCCCCCCCACACACACATGTGTAGCATTTACCGTGGCTTCAAAATCTGCTGATCGTGCTCAGACGGTTAGATTCGCCATTTGGGCACGTCAAACAGGGTGGTGATGGCCAGGGTTATGAAAGAGAGGGGCTTGTCCGCGAACATAAAATCGCAGCCATTTGTACGTCTCCTGCCTGTGTGTATATATGTGTCATATTTTCACATACGTACACACATATATGTATACAATATATGTTTTTATTTTATTCTTCTTTTGGCGCCCATTCTACTGCCAATTACTAGTTCGTCCATGTGTAACGTTTAATTTTTTTTTTTTTTTTTTTTTGTTTTATTACTGCCCCCCTCCACAATGTACCTCGTATGCAAGCTAAAAAAAATAAGTAGGCCTCCCCTTTTTTTATTTTTTTTATTTTTTCTTGTGATGAATTTTGCGTAGCTGCACTTTTCTCGCAAGAGAACTACCTACCCGGCCCTTTCAAGGACCATTTTGAATTAAATAATTGTCACCATTTTGTTTAATTACCCGCCAGTGGGGCTCTAGCTCCGTTTTATACCGTTCCACCCAGATTGACAGACCAAAGTGGGAAAAAACCAACCAAACAAAAGAATAAACAAATGTACATATAAATATACAAAAAAGGGAGGAGAACTGCTGAGGTTGTCCCGCTTCGAGATGCACAATGGCGTGTGAAAGAAGGTTCGCTTAACCGTTAGGGGATGCGATTTTTTTTGTTTTATTTTGCTCTCCTGACTTTGCGGTAGTTGCGAGGTGGCACTTCCACTTCGGCTAGCAAACACACCACAGAAGTGTCATACCCCCCATTCGGCGATATACAATGCGAAATAGCAACTGATGAGCCGTGTGATAAGGATAACTTGCCTTTTTTGTGTTTCCCACCTGTTGGGCGTATGGACGCATGGGACTTTTTGCGCGTGGCACCAAGTCTCCAAAGGTGGGTCCCTTAGCGGTTTTCGAGTTGCGAGGAGCCGACACACCTTGTGCATATGATGTTCTGTTCATTTGTTCTGCTCCTGCACATAGCGAATTACCTCCGTGCAGTGCTGACAGTGCACATAGGAAAAGGGGCATTCTTACCTCAAGTACCCTTAAATAGAGGCAAGGGAAGAGCGAACCGTGCAGGTGTGTACACAAGGAACAACCACTCATGCATGGGTTCTGAATATATTTTCAACAGAATCTGTAACGATACCGATAAGAAGAACGGAGACAAAGCAAGCGAATTGTTACAAAGAGCAAACTATATAAAAGATGTTAATGGCTTGTATAACTTCCTTCCCCTTGGATATAAGTCAATCGAAAAGCTCATAAACTTTCTGAACAGCCACTTGAAGAGAGTCAATTCGCATTGTCTTTTTATGTCCATTCTGCAAGCCAAGAAATGGTGGAATATTTCAGACCGCTCAAAACTGTATAGCGATGAATTTTTATATGTGTACAAACAAAAGCAGCAAAAAGGGGACATCAACAAGGTTAATGAATCTGTAATGACGAAAAAAAAAATGGAAGATGATGGACTTATCCTGAGCCCCACATGTGAAGAACAGGCAATCTCATTAATCAACCAAGTGTACAATGAAAACATACCAGCCAAATCACTTCCTTTGCTAATCCATCAGTTTAATTATAAATTCAGAAATGAAAAGAGGTTAGAAAAAACGCTGTTCAAAAGTAAAGAGTTTTTGATGAAGGATGGCTACTCCTTTCACAGCAGTGACATTTGTCTGAGTGAAACTTATGAAGCATATAAAGAATGTTATGAAAAAGTATTTTCCGATTTGAAGTTGCCATTTAAGGTTACAAAAAAAAGGAAAGTGGATAAAATGAATGCACTGGAAAGTCACGAATTTCAAGTGCTCTGCCGAGATGGCAAGTATAAAGAAGCTGCACACATTTTTAAATTAGGAGATTACTACTCCAAGAAATTGGGCATAAAATACTTAAACAAACGGAATGAAAAAAATAATATTCTTATGGGTTCCTACGGAATTGGCATTTACAGACTGCTGTACTTTTTGGTCGACTCCTTTTACGATGACGAGGGTATTCGGCTGCCTGAGCAGATCGCGCCCTTCTCTGTCTACCTCATTCAGACCAATCAGAGGAGTAAGTACTGCGCGGCCAAAGTTGCGAAAATTGTGAAAATGGCCAAAGTGACCGACGCGGCAGAGGCGATGAACGTGTCCAACGCCACGAAGGCCCCCCTCAACAGCAACGACGTCGAGTACGTCCTCACGCTGTGGCTCTACAACACGTTTAAAAACAGCAACGTTGACATATACTACGACGACACAGATTTACACCTGTCACGGAAGCTGAAAAATTGCGACTTGATAGGAGTCCCCAACCGAATTATAATAAACCTGAACAGCGAGCAAAAAAAGATAAAGCTCCCCCCAGATTTTTATAACTATATGGATACACCGAATGCTATTCTGTCCAATAAGCTCTACATGACCTTTCAGGACGTCACTGTGGAGTACAAAAGTCGATTTTCCCCGGAAAAAAAAATTATGACAATTCATCAGTTGTTCAAACAATTCGGGCTCATTTAGTTTGTTGCGCCTCTTCCGCGCAGTTACACCGCAGTGTGTTTTTCTGTAAGTGGTGGACTGCTTCGTTTGCTTAGTCCTCTGCGTCTTCCTCTTCCTCTTCTTATTCTTTTTTTTTTTTTTTTTTTGTCTGCGTTTGTGAGGCGAGCCAGGCCGCCTTTTTTTATTTCCCCCCTCTTCGCGTGCACACACACAACCGACCACTTAATTTGCAACTTTCCGCTACTTCAAAAAAGGTTACCTCCTCTTGTAAACACAGGGAGCCAATAACTTGGAAACCTTCCTAATTCTCTTGTCATTCACTGCGTAGGAAGCGTCGTCCTTTTTATTATTCTCAAAAAATAGCACATAAAAAAAATCGTCCAAATTTACCTGAACGGGCAAAAAAAAAAAAAAAATATGTATTTTCGCTGTTCAGCTAGCCAAATTGCACAAACGGCCAATTTCGCCCATCAACCAAATGTGCGCATAGGCCCAATCGGCCACTTCTCCACGCGGTGGTGCAGGTAAGAAAGGCCTACTTTGTTGGTGATGGTAAACCCGACGTTCTTCATAAACTTCATGAACGCCTTGTAGTTCGTAAACCTGCTCACCACGTCGGCTATTATTAGGGTTGCGCTGCGGAAAAGTAAAAAAAAAAACATATATATATTTAAAGAAAACATGGAGAGAGCTGCCAAAGGGGTGATAGGCAAACCACAAAGGGAGGCAACAAAAACTGGCTGCAAAAACGGCTGCTAAAGTGGCAACACCTCAGTGCACATAATTTAACCTCTTTTTAAGACACCGCCGTGCCTCAAATATAACTTTCGGCCAATCCGTGTTCATGAGACTTAGGCACAGAACGAAGCAATCGTGGGAATTGTTTGGGAGCGGCAACTCCGTTATGTTACACACAGTGACGTGCTCATTGAGCTGAATTAAATCATAGGAAGTCACGGACCAGCCGTCCAATGCCTGGGCTATTTCTGCTTCTCCGCATCCCAAATCTGCTATTTTACTTTTTTTTGTAAAATTTTTTTTTAAATGTCTTATTATTACATTAACGGGATTTTGGGGCCATTTATTCTTCTGATTTCTATACCCCGAATGGTAAATGTTGAAAATATTGTTTGTTTCCTTCAACTTCTGTTGCACAATGTCGCTTCTGTTCGTGTACATGTACTCATTAATGTATCTGAACAGGGACGAATTCACTATTTCTTCTGGGTCTTGTTGGATTTTTTTTTTCTTCTTGTATTTTTGTTTTTTCTTTTCTCCATAATGGCTTTCGTATGGATCAGGGAAGAAGGCCCTATCGGTTGGATGGTCGCCATCAGTTCGATAGGAGAACGGACTGCTGGCTTCACATGGGTAGTTGCCTCGGTTAGCGACATTCTTTGGTGAAGGATTTCCATTTGGAGTGTGTTGGGGGGGTGACTCGTTCTTCCCCTCTTGGGCCTTCCCTTCATGATTCTTCTTTTTGCATAACTTTTTATTTATGTTTATTTTCTTCAAGACAGGAGTGACAAAATCTGACTTGGATCTTTTAATAGCCATTTTGTTGGTTATTGGTGGGCGTCTTCCCTCCGCTGCTTCTTCCTTCTTCGCGAAATTGAATTCTGGGCAGGGTTGGTCTGCACGACGCATCTCCCCCTTGCTGTTCAGACATTTACCATAAGACTGCGATACTACCCCCACCTGTTTTGCCTCCTTATTTTTATGCTTCTTAAAGGGTTTCTTTTTTTTTTTGCCGCCACTCTTACCATCCTGATTCTTCTTCGTCCCCCCGCTACATTTGAAGCCATCTTTTCTGACCTTTTTCAGTTTTGGGGAAACGTCCTCTTTGCTCATTCTTCGTAAATGTGAAGTTGGTGTTATTGATTACTGAGCATTATATTATGACGTTAAGCGTTCGGGCACCGCATCTTGGAGTTAGAGGCGCATGTGCTTCCCGTTGTACGTTTTCCTTTTTTTTTTTTTTTATAAATAAAATAAGGCCGGTTGAGTTTATAAATTGGGGACTGCTGCCAGTTTCGCGATTGTCACCACGCAAATGTGAGCAGTCAGTATATGAGCTCGTTCGCTCTTTTTTTTTTTTTTTTTTATAATAATTATTTTTTTTTTTCTGCCTTTTTGTTCTACATCACCATTTTAAAATTACCGCATTTTACGTTGGCATCGTAAATATGTGCGCGGGACCCGTAGCTCAAAAAATGGGGCAGCGAAAGCGGAGGAACGGTCTTTCCCACCCTCACAGGCGTTGCCCAATGCGTTCAATTTTGCCGTGCCTTTTTGTATGGCTAAGTAATATTCATGTGCCAAGGTAAATTCATATAGCCAAGTTTTATTTTTTGCATTTACAAATTGAACGGTAAACAGTATGAGTAGTACTCTTTGTCCGTTTAAAAAATTTCTACATTAGGGGTAAAACTACGAACCCACACGCAGCGAATATATATTCATACAACCCTGTACATTTTGTATGCATACATTTCGCGCCCCGTGCACCGTCAAATCTCCACTTTTCGGAGATTAGTTCTGCCATTTGGAAGATTCATTGCCATAGGTGTAAATATTCCCTTTTAATTTGATGGCAAATGAACTTTGCATGTTTTTTTTTTGATATACGTTCATGAAAAAGGTATGCTTTTATTTTATTTTTTTTGTTGTTCTCGTTCTCGTTCTGCTCTTTTGAAAAACGCCCATAATGTGCAAGGGTTAAAAAATGGCACACAATAAATATTACGCAAATTTAAGAAAAGTCCCAAATGGAGAAGATCACCGGCAAAGAGGAACCTTTGAAAGGAGGTAAGCGCTACGTGAAGGATGCGTAAGCGTGTTGTCATTACCCCTCGACTGCAAAGTATTAAATTCGCACTTAACCTGCGAAGCAAAGTGGAGTGTTCCATGTGGCATGATCCAACACAAGTACTCTTTTGCCACTTTTATAAACATGCAAAGGTTCTACGAGGAACAACAGCGTCAAATGAGGGGAAAAAAGAATATATTAATAAAAACATATGCTGTGCAAATGTACCTGCGCATGTATGCATACGGAAAAGGGTTTCCCACGAATGGCGGAGATGCCATTATTATGATATACCCCCCAAAGACATGTGTTAAAGGGGCAACATGCGCATTTTGCGTAGCGACGATCTGCCCAAGGGGGGGGAAAAAACACCTCCATTTAATTTGATCGCAACTGTACTGTTTCATATGTCCCATTTGGTATCCTTTCTCATCACTTCACGCATAATGTGCCATTTGTACTTGAAAGAGAAGAGGGGTACATTTATAATGTCAAAAAAAAAAAAAAAAAAAAAAAAAATGGGCCAATGTTAGCCAATTTTAAGGAAAGCATTATTCGCGAGAAAAACCGACCAATCGAGGTGTCTAACTCGACCATGTAGATATGCGTCATAACCATATGAGATTTTTTTTTTTTTTTTTGAGTCATTGGAACAAGTGTGTACAATTATCCTTGATGACATAACTGAAGTAGCCATTTCGAATTTTTTTTTTTTTTTTTTTTTTTTTTTTCTTTTTGTGAACTGTTCATACATTTTTAGACACTTTTTCTGAACATGCATGTTTGCATGCCAAAAAAGTATGAACAGTTCATGCAGTTGTGCACATGTGGAGGGGGGCCGCGCAAAAGTGTCCACATCGCGTGGGCAACTCAAAGGGTCTGAAAAAGCCCGAAAGGGCGACTACATGTCGAACGCGAGACAAGCGAAAAAATCGAAACTGACATGGTGAATTATGTTCATTTTTCTTGCTTTGTTTGTTCTGTGTTGCTTTTATGTTCTTTCAGTTTGTTCCAGTTTGTTTCAGATTTCTTTTATTTGTACTTAATTGTTTTCATTCGCTTTTTTGTTGCTTCCCCATTTTCCCCCTTCACTTCTTCACTTTTGAGCGCGTTTGTTCTCCCCGCCTGCTCACTTTTGCGGAACGGCTCAAAAACTGCCTGGACGTTGCGCCAACCGCGGGGTTAAAACTGGTCGTGAAGGAGGCCGATTGAAGAGAAGCAAAAAAGGACACAAAAAAAAGGCAAAAAAAAAAAAAAATTATTTAAAAAAAAAAGCGACTTTAAAAGAACAAATAACAAAGTACCATTCGAAGAAAAAATTAAGCTACACCAAATCGGATTAATTTACAACCAATTAAGCTGCACCCAATTAAGTTGCACCCTCAACGAAGGTGACTCGCCAAGTAGCAAACCACGCGAACCGCGGGATCCCTGCAATTGTTTTGAACGAGCCACCCCCGCGACAAAATGGAGAACCACAAACAACCCTGCTCGAGCTTCATAGTTAGCCTGGTCTTCTATGTGTGCTTCTTCTTCTACTTCGGGTTGTACAGCTTTGAAATCATGTTCATCTTCTCGTCCAAAATGGACTATGTCATGCTCTGCTTCCTGCTAATAACAACCATACTGTCCATCTCCTTGGCCTCCATCGGATTAATGTACACCTCCTACTTTCTAGTGATCGTCATATCTTTAGTGGAAATATACGAATACAAAAATTCTTCGTTTGCTAGTGTAATGGATGATGAGTTTAGCAAAGTGTTTTTAATTGTTCGATTATTTGCCACCGTTAATTTCCTCATGTTTTACTACATGCACATAAACAACCTCAAAAGGAAGAAGCGGATGGACTTGGCCAAGTCAAAGTCAAGTGAAAAGAAGACACAAACACAAACGGTGTATGAAAGGAACTCACCGGCATACAAGAATGACGATTTGAGACATGGCGCCGCATTACCTGTTGGTGGAAAGTTAATTCAAGAAGTTGCTACACACAAGCACACGCAAGATAATGATGGCCCATCGAACAAAACACAAGTGATAGAAGGCTATATATTAAAACATGTGACCATTCCGATTATACAAAAGGATGAAAATTCTCCTCCTCCTGTTCTGTCCAGTCAACAGAGTAAAGTGTTTGAAGCCCCCCCTCACCATCTTCCATACAGCCACTACAGCGTCAAAAGTGTAAATGGTAATGCGCAAGGGTTGGGAGCTAATCAGCCATTGAGCGATGGCACCTTTGTTGATAACAGCATGGACCAGACCTACACAAGGCAGTATACTTCCCCGTGGGTAGTGCCCAACAACAACACCAGCTTGTATGGAAACGACGTTCCTTTCGCAAGGGCGGAGAGTCAACATTTGAATAGAGTCCCCTACGGAAATGCAACTACTAACGCTTGCTATAATGGCGTCTTGAACACGTACGCAGAGAATAGGTTACCCGACGATACGGATCCATATCAAGTTAGGTCTCACCACATGGGGGCCTACCAATCATGGGGGTACCCATCGGGGGCTTACCAAGCGGGAGCATAAGCAGTGGGAGTATAATCAGCGCCGTTATATAGTACTCTCCGCAACCAATCCAAAGGGACGTGGAGGATATCCTTTCCGAATTCTGCCTTGCCCTTGACAACCAGGTTACCCTGTACAGTAATAACCAATTGAGGGGGCATCCGAGGCGAGAAGTTTTTTTCAGCACAAAATATATTTATGATATGAGTGGTTATGAGCGTTGCGGTTGCCCTTTTGATGGGGGGGACAGACCACTCAGATATGTTGAATCCTAGCGAGTGTACAGTGAGCGTGTGGCCGGGCACACAGGTACGGTGCAACGTGGATCCATTTTGGCGAGAGAAGTTTGTTTCGTGGGAAAGCCCTTTTAAGATTATGTCAAAATGCGTTTTGAAATTTTTATGAAACTGAATAACACAGATGAAGAAGCGTTCCGCTGGACGCGCTAATTGTTTTGTGACGCGTCCACAATACCGTGCGCAGGCGGATGGGGAGAACACTCACCTTTTAGCTTCACCCAAGGGGCGTGGACAAACGCATCCATTTCCGATTTCGCCTGCACACCTCCGTGTATGCGTATACGTATGTGCATTTCTTTTTTTTTAACTCCTTTGTGATATTGTGTCTATCTCCTCCACCTTGCCGTAACTTTTTCACTTCTTACACCTTTTTGATTTCCCTTTTGGCTACACCGTTACGAATCAAAACACAAGAATCTGCGTAAATTGTAAAGTGTGCAATTTATCGAATTAATTTTTTTTTTTTTTTTTACTCGAGCATTTCTGCAATGATGTGTGCGTTTTTGCTGCTCCGCATACGCAGTTGGTAATGCTTAAAAAAAGTGCATGAACTGTTCAGGTAAAAAAACCTCGAATGTTTGCCGAAACTGCCGTTTGGCTAGCTCCCAAAAAAAAAAAAAAAAAAAGGTAGCGAAGAAGCAGCCACAAAGAAACCACAAGGCAGCCTCAACGTATCAGTTCTGAGCTGCCACATTACGGCCGCTTCACATATTGTCTTCTTGGAACGCCAGGAAGTTCCCATTCCTGTTGTTTTGCCGCTCCAGGGCTGAAGAAAAAAGAGGGCGAAAAATAAACAAAGAGAAAGCACGGTCAAATGCGCTTCTATGTAAAATATTTTGTGTAAGGAAAGACTTAAGCCTATACCTTCTCCACGCTCTTTCATTCTTTTCTCCCGAACTTCCTGTCTATTTTTAAGCTCCTCATATTTGTCCTTGTACAACTCAGTGTTTTCACTGTATATGGAATCGACGCCTTATCGTGCAAAAGAAAAAAAAAAAAAAAAAGGTTATATTTTTGCCGTACACAATTTTGCGTTACCCACTATGACGTAGTCATCTTTGATCATGCATACAAAACCCATCAACAGTATGAACATTTCAGGATGTTCAGCACCCGCGACCTTTCCCTTTTCCCCCCATTTGTGCTGACACCTTCTACGTATTAAATGATGTAAACAAAATGCTCAGATATACCAACTATTCCTCTAGGGTAATGCGACTTAACCACTCGCGCGAGCTTTACATCCTTTTTTATATCTTCCGATAATTTTAAAGTCTGACCGGGGAAAGCGAATGGGGAGACATGCGTTCACACACTTTACAGCACAGTGGGTGCTATATTATGCAATTTTTTTTTTTTTTCAAGGGTCCGTTTATTACTTCTAAGTATTTTTCCTGCATTTGTTCGTATTCTAGTCTTCTTTCATTTGGCCTCTTTTTGGCGAAGGGCATGGGAAAAAAAAAGGGGAGTAGTTAGACAATGCCGCGAAATGATACATGGTGTTGCTTCATTAGCGACTGGGCAAAGAACAAACTAGCCTTACCATCAGTTTCTCCGTTGTCAACCACTGCATGTAGCCCTCCTTCAGTTGGTCTCGCTGAAAGGGATGAATTGTTTTAATTTGCTCGGGGTGTAGATTAGAGGTCATGTTGCATAGTTCGGATTCACTGCCGCATGAGTGGTGCCGTGCCCTGTGGGTGTCATCTTTCCTTGTAGGGAGTTGCAGTTGCCCCATTTTTCATTCCCCATCGGCCCTCCCACACTAGGGATAAAATGTTACCCGCTCTACTTTGGGCAAGGGGTTGGTGATTTTCACGGTGCCGAATTTCGCCTCTGCTCGAAGGGAAGTTTGTATATGGAAATGGTGAAGATGAGTAAAACAACTGCATCAAAAGTTTACAAAACAAGGGATGACAGGTGTGCCGCTTCGAAAAGCACTTCTGTTAGAAGCGGGGGATACCATTTGGAACCAAGTCGGTGAAAGGTGGAGGTTCCTCATTCTCATCCAGTCTCTGTTGAAAGAGGGGCAACGTCAACAGTGTACGTAGGGGTGACATGTGTGATGTGTCATACTCATGGACCGAATAAATGCAGGTCTGCCATGAACTGGATGTTGCCTTCATTTTTTTTTAACCGCGTAGTCAGCTTTGTCCCTCTCCACTGATTTAAAAACGTGGTCTCCCCGTGTGCACCTGGACTGGGATTCTTTTTTTTTGTGGTCGTCTTTCAAGTCAGAATAGTATTCATCGATTAGCTGGTCCTTTTTTTTGGGTGCGGCCAAAGAGTGATCATTACACGAGAATGAGACTAAAGATTCGTTGCATGGCGCAGCTGTTCGGGTTTTGCGCATTGCCTACACACACATTTGTGTGTACATATGTTTGTATATATATATATTTTTTTTTTTTTTTTTCTCACAAATTTCTCATGCGTGGATAAATTGCCTGCCTTGGCAGAGTCAGAATTATTTTTCCCCTTTGGCCCCATCTTACAGTCTTCACAAAGTTAGGCGCGATTATTTCGCCCGACCACGGTGTGCTCATATGTTGGGTCAACCTCAAACACGCACTGACCAGTGGATGTCACCTGTGCTCAACGCGGGTTACATGTTTCCTCGGTTTGCACATTCGTGAGGAAACAGTGCAAATGGCGAGCACAGATAAGCACATGAGAACAAGACGTTTTCAATGGAGGGGCAAAAAAAAAAAAAAAAAAAAAAGGAACGAAATGCATGGCATGCATTCCAGTCAAATGTAAAGAGGAGGAATATTTACATAATTCCTCTGGTTAGGCGACAGCTAAGAATGTAGACCAGGTGGATAACCACTATGTGAGTCCTCGCTACGCCCACAAGGGATGTCTAATATGTCTTGCGCGTTTTTTTTTTTTTTTTTTTTTTTTCTCTCTCCCTAAGGAGAGTTCTGGACAAGGGGTTTTCCTAGAGCGAACTGGTTGGAACGGGCTACTCTACACGATGAATCCACGGGACCGCAAGGCGAAGTGCCCGTTTGTGCATTCCCTAACCAGTGTCTGAAAGGGACAGTACCAAATATTATCCTGACCGACGCTCATTGCTCAAATGGGGCCGTTTCCGGTTCGCCAAAGTACTCCGCAAAGATGACAAAATTGTTCGGCTTCGTGGAAAAAAAAAAAAAAAAATATATATACGTATATGCAGATATATGTAAATAGGCCAACATATGCATATACTTGTAGGGCCCAAATCTGCGGTCACAAAACGGGTCATCCATCCGAACCTGCTTTATCAGCGCGCACGGGGAGAAATGCTTCTTCAAGAAGTTCCGCAGTTTGTAGGATGGATTATCGTAGCTGCGTTCGCGAGGGGAAAAAAAAAAAAAAAAAAAAAAAAAAAAACACACTCATGTTCATGCGTTGATGTGTATAGGCACATAAGGAGCCAATTGAAGGGAGGACTTACGGAATACACTCACCAACGTGAAAAAGAAAGACAGCAAAGTCTCAATCGGGTGGGGCGAGTCGGAGGAAACCGCACTCGTTCATGCTTACCATAATTTGGATGGAGAGATCGCCTTGTCTCTCAACATGAAGTTAAAGAGTTCCTACAAAATGGGAAGTAGCACGAAAGGGGGGTCACTAAATGGGACAGACACCTGCAGGGTTCTTCCCGCGTAGGTGGACATAGGGAGGAAGCAGTTGTCCTATTTGTACATTCTCCTTTATTAACACATCCATTATTAACACGTTCACTTTTTCTTTTCTTTTTTTTTCTCCAGGAGTGAGAGTCGTACTAACAAGCCCAAGGCCCCTCTTCCGGAAGTTCCTCTGTATGTAAAAATCTGAAAACAGGTGGAAAGGGGTGGGTAGCTCAGGTAAACAAGCAGATGTGTAGGTACGTGTGCACCTACACCTGTGTGATCACTGCAAGCGAGAGCATGTCACCTACAAGGGTGTGTTCGCTCAAGTCGCCATGGTGAATTGTCCTTTATGTTGTTACCTAATAAACACGCACAGCTTCGGCAGTGTAAGTCTTTCCCGTTATACAAGTACAGCCGTTTTGTACCAATCTATGAAGGAACAGAGGGGAAATGTGGAAAGGGGTGCATGTGTCATTTGGACTGGTGTAGCGGTGAAAGCAGGAGAAAAAAAAAAAAAAAAATATTCCGCTGTATAAATTGACTAGCAACTACTCCCCCACATTTTTAATTATTAAAAAACGAATAATTTAAGATAAATAATATAACGGAAGATATGTATTACCCATTAAAAAACAACGTAAAAAAAAAAAAATGCGGCAATGTATAAATTTGCCTCAATTTCAACAGTACAGTTTTGTTGAGGTGTTCTTTCACACTTTGCAAATTTGCCGCCATTCTGTACATTCCCATGTTGTTTAAAAAAAGTATGAACAGTTCAGATAAAAACAAAAAATCTGCATTAAAGCATTTCTCTCCCCACCTTTAACATCCCGATTAGTTCACCTTGTTGTGTTAAGCACTGACGGGGGAAAAACGAGCAGGGCATGTTGGGTAGGACAGTGTCGTCCATTGAGTAATCTTCCTCCTATTAAGGTTCACTAAATTGATGGTACGAAACACACACTCAAATGATACACATATTTACACTTACGTATAGCGTGTTGTCCTGGTCCGCGACGTTGTCTAAAGTTGTTAAAATTCCCGACAGGTGCTGCTCCTTAAAAAGGGGGATGCACAAAAATAAGGGAATAATGAAAATTCGAGGATGACGCAAAGGGGGGGTCTCTCCCCAGGCGCTACTTTCACTGTTTTACGAAGTTTATGGAGAAGGCGCTTTGGGAAAAAGTCCCTTTGTTTCGTGGGTGTTGCTTCCTACAGTGCTAGACAGGAGGCCCATTTCGTCTACATCCCTTTGTAGCTTCCGAACTGGAAAAAAAAAATAAAATAAAAATAAATAAAGCAAATAAAGCTGCACAAAACGATGCGATATCGCCAGAGACAGTTTTCGTGCTGTACAAGAATGAAGGTCAGAGCTCCTCAGGAGAAGCAAGTCAACCCTTGAGTGTTTCTTTATCTCCAAGTTGTGCATTTTTGCAGGCGGGGGATATTAATTTCTGTGGTTGGCTCGTTGGTTAAGGAGGTTGGCACAGTTTTGCACTTTGCGTTTGAAAAAATAAAAAAAAGAGAATGTGCAAAGGTAGAGGAAAAAAAAAAAAAAAAAAAAAAAAAAACCACTAGCAACATGCAACAGGGAAAAATTTCTCCCGAGTTTGCCACCGCGCGGGGAAAAAGAATAGCACCATCAGTTATGCTAGTCTCATGCAACCATTTGATTAATTTGGGTTTCCCTTCCTTTTTTCCGTTTCGCACAAATGCAGACGTGTCAAGGAGGGGAGGAGTGCCCAACAAGTCATGACTTGCATTCCGTGTAAAATTTACACGCATGTGGGATATGTAAATAAATAACTAACACGTTTCACAAATAATGTGTGCGAAAGACAATCCAGATCGGGGAGCCACACACAAAAGGACACCCTTATGGTTGCGAGGGGGCCGGTATCAACGCAGGCATATAAAATGGCCTAACCTCGCTGTTGCGTGTCAGGTCTGTTCAGATGACCACTGCAATCATCACCAACTCAGTCCTTCTCCAATATAAACACCTTCTTGAAATTTCTGTACTTATCTTTTAAGCTCACATTAGTTCTGTGGAAAATGGCAGGTGGAGGAGGAATCGGATGGTGAGGATGCATCTCTGCCTGGGGTGCACAAAAAACTGTTCATCGTTCGCACCCACTCCACACTACTCTCGTTTGCACAAACCTGCCCTCCGAAAATGAATAGGCTTCCATAATTTGGCGCCAGTTGGACACTCCGTACTCCTATCGGGGCAGGGGGGAGAGAGAAAAAAGGGACAGCATAGTTGTGCCAACGTGTATACACAGAAACGTGCGTGTCTAAATGCCCATATGTGCGTTTGCGGCGGGGGACGAGACGCTGCAGTGGTTGAAAGCGGGACTCCTGGTCCCTTCTTCCTCATGTTCATCTAATGCTTATTCCTCTGCTGGTCACCACTCCTCTCCTACGTTTATCCCGGCAATTAGGCGCTCCGTCTCCCCCTTGTCCCACTTGACGCGGGTTTTGTAGCTCTTCTGCGGAGGCAAATGGAAACGGCACCAGTGCATCATCATTGTGCGGAGCATCCCCCATGGGAGAGGAAACAAAATAGCCACTTCTTAGATGACCCCTCCCGGTAAAGGGGAGTAGCAAAGTTCGCATTACGTGGACCACGGTCCCCCCGGCGAGTACCCTTTTACGTTCCCCTGACATGGACTTTTTTTCCATCCCCTGTCCGTCGATCACAATGGGGGAATTCGTTTCACCTTTGTGAAGAAGTTGAAAAAAAAGGGAAATGCACGAGGTGTGAACTGGGCCCAGAAGGCAGCAATGACGCATTCAAAGAGGTGAACAAAAAAACCTATACAACTGCGCGAGGTCGTACCTATGGCGATGGAACTTTTTATCTTCAGTAGTTTCAGGCTTGTCTGGTCGGCTGTGTGAAGGGGTGAAAAAGAGGCGGCGCATTGTTTTAATAAGTGAGCGAAGGGAACAAAAGCGACCAGCGTGGCAAGAGTAACCATAACAGAGTTGGTCGCCCTGGAGAGTCTACCCATTTTTCCGCAGAGGACCCCTCGAGAACAAGTGTCAACGGAAGGGAGGCGGGTTCCCTCCGCTAGCCAGCTGCTTAGGACGGCTGAGTTTTTAACCCCCTTGAACAATTGTATCGTTAAAGGGCAAATATTTCATGTGGAAGGAAAGAGTTATGACTTGTTCATGTAATGTTTGGATTTGTTCAAAGTACACTCATGGACCCGCAAGAATGAGTGTAAGTAAACACCTACGAGGGGTGGCGTGACTCCTAGTGGGGGACCCGCGCTGAAGCGACGCACGCACCCCTCACATGTACGTACGGACGAAAACACGTCATCGCCAGTATGCACACACAAAAAATGAACGCAATAAGGGGTTAACGTCACACAGGGTTCTTTTTTGCGGTAAAAAGGGATGGCGGAAATAAACACTTCGCCTTCTCCAATGTAGGGCGATTATACGTTGTCCAAAAAAAAAAAAAAAAACGAAAAAGAAAAAAAAAAAAAAAGG